AGAAAAGTAGCCAAGATATATCACTGGACTCTGTCCGGGTAGAATCTCTTTTGGGTGAACTTGTGTCACTGTTCCGTTTATATCAAAGATTCTGGCCTCTATCATAAGATTCTTAATACAACCGTGAGCACCAGGTGACCACCATATGTCCCGCGAGTGAGTGAGTGAGTGAGTGAGTTAATGAGATAATAAGGTTAAACACCCCTTCAGCAATTTTTCGGATATTGAAAACTTTAATTACACTTAGATGTCTCCATTTAGATAAACAATAGAATAACTGGTTCCATTTGTACTAATGTTTGATACTAAGTCCAATATTCACAGGAATATCACATAATACACAGCGAATGGCAATCTATGTGATCAAATGGTGAATTACGATTATAATTTCTCAGGTGTGGTTTGTGATTTGGCATTGGCATGTTTGATGGATTCAGTTTTCTGAAACCTTGAACAACAAGTCATGTTACCCTTTTACATCAATTGTCCATGTTACTTAAATTGCATCAAATACAATAACTTTATTTCATTAGATTTGAGCGATTCACATCGGGATCCAATCTCAAATGTGTCTGGTATTACTCGATTTCACTGACAGCAATATTACCTGTGACTTGATTGAAGGAAATCAGATATGACTGGAATGGGAATACCCGAATCACTGCGATGCATCTTGCATGTCCATTATACCTGAAACTTCAAGATGGATTTACCATTTCTAAATCAAAGATGTTTGTATATATCCACACATTTACACTGAAACAGTAAATTTCACATTTTGGAGTACTATAATATTTGCTAATACATCATCATAAATATGATATTTTCTCCAAAATTCATTAAAAGTGTTTCTGAAACAAATTACCAAGTCTCTCGTAATTCTTATGGAATGGCTCACACTTTTATCGGGATTTGTTGCATTTCATTTGTGCATTTTGAGGTGAGATTAAAAAACACACTACCAGGAAAAGTAACTAACACATCAATTCTATAAAGGAAACTGTTTTGCAATTAATTCACCACTACATAGGACAAATCTGAAAACAATGACTGGACTCTCAACAAAAACAATAAAAAGAAAAAGAAAAAAAATACACAAAAAAAATATATCTGCAGAATTCCAAGTTGAACCTTGGTAACCGTACTCAATGCGGAGGGTAATTTTATGTCCCCAACTTTGCGCTACATGCGCGTTGTGGGGTAAAAAAGGCCAAAAGGTAAAACCTCCTTGAATAGGACATAATGAATACAACCCATATGACCATTTATGTAAAAATACCACGGAGAATAAAATGATTTCCTTGGATACTGCCGAATATCGATTATGATATCATGTATCAGTACACATGTATATTACACAATTATCGGCTTTACTTTGATGTTAAACGACCCAAAAGATTAGATATCAATTAAGTTAGAAATGAGGTTAATTTTGTCAGAAATATTGCAATAGCTTAGCTATTTTTGAAACAAAATAAAGTAAAGTTTCTAAAAAAATAATTTCAGTGGCCAAAACAATAAACAACAATAAAGCTGCATTTTACAGATTCCGTTAATCTTTTACAAATTGCGTTAAATATTGTTTTTACATTTTACGATAGGTGTTCACACATTGCGTTAAAGACATCTTTTACATTTGGTGTTAATCTTTTACATATTGCGTTATATTTTACATTTTGCGTTAATTTTTACATATTGCGTTTGTTTTAACATGTTGACTTGATTTTACATATTGGGGTTGTACAGATCTGATTTGCTGTCTGTCTTAGCTGTAGAAGTTTTATGTTAAACCTCTACAGTTCAGGCAGACAGTCCTGATTATTGGTTGATAGGACTTCGACTTGATTTGATGGGTAGGGAACTTTTGCTGGTGATCTGAGAGGGCCGATTTGACGTGTTTACTTGCCGTCCATTGAAAGTGCCCATGTTATTCCGTAACTTGTACTGATTTGTAAACTTAGGAAATTTTACAAACGGCAAATATATAACATTTCTTTCACACGTGGATGTCTCGGTCACCTTGTTTAAACAGAGGCGGTGGGGTAGCCTAGTGGTTAAAGCGTCTGATCATTACGCCGAAGACCCGGGTTCGATTCCCCATCTGGGTACAGTGCGTTAAGCCCATTTCTTGGGTCCCCCATCGTGATATTGCTGGAATATTGCAGAAAGCAATAAAACTCAACTCACTCACTCACTCTTGTTTTAACTTGGAAATGGACAGGTAACAAAGCACTGGAAATGAGGCGAAACCATTTATTCACTGACAATCTCAAATACATAAAGTTGAACATACTACCTAAACCATTAGCTTACAGTAAACGTATGACACAAACGACAGTTGAAATAGAGTCAGAGAACATGACATATGGTGATGTTATTGTTGCAGTAGAATATGGTCACATCTATATGCTGGTGAAATGACTGAAAAATAAAATGTTCAGTCTCATCAATATGCTAGTGAAATGAGTGAAAATAAAATAAAATGTTCAGTCACATCAATATGCTAGTGAAATGATTGAAAAATAGAATAAAATGTTCAGTCTCATCAATATGCTAGTGAAATGATTGAAAAATAAAATAAAATGTTCAGTCTCATCAATATGCTAGTGAGATGATTGAAAAGTAGAATACAATGTTCAGTCTCATCAAAATGCTAGTGAAATGATTGAAAAATGGAATAAAATGTTCAGTCTCATCAATATGCTAGTGAAATGATTGAAAAATAGAATAAAATGTTCAGTCTCATCAATATGCTAGTGAAATGACTGAAAAATAAAATGTTCAGTCACATCAATTGATATGCTAGGGTAATGGTTGAAAACTAAAATACAATGTTCAGTCACGCCAATATGCTAGTGAAATGGATGAAAAATACAATATAATTCTCAGGGTACATACAAACAATAATCAATTACATAAACTACCGGCAAAGAGCGTATACATCCAGGTATGATGGTGGCTACAAATCAAACAGATATAAAATGCTTATTCGACAGTGATAAATTTTATCACAGGTATCATAGTTAAGATTTAGACCTTAGATTTGTAGTGCTTCGGCGACTGTTCTCAGCCGAGTAAATCAAATATAAGGTTGTGGTGAAATCCAATTTTCTAGGGTATACATTTTTTTGCTTGTAGTTTTTGTAGGGTAGTATTGAGTACAGGCAGAGTATCAAACCGTGGAATATGTAACATTATGCTATTAAAAAGTGGTTACACTTTACGTAAATAATACAACTAACAATATATTCATAGGATCAGTACTTCCTTCATATGAGTACAACATTTCATAAAGACTGGCAAAATATACTTTGCGAATCTCTTCAATACATTAGAAACAACATTTGAAGCTTTTCATAGCTGGAAAACATATAACCAATAGCCTTTGAATCAAGAAGAATAATATTTCTTGAACTAGAAAAAAGATGGCATCCAAGACAGCTTTGATATACAGAATCAACACATAGTATTATTCAACATGGTCAGATTCATTTTCATGTGTATACTCTCCTTGACTCTGTTGTGTGTTGGGGGTAGTATTGAGTACATCTGACTATCAAACAGTGGCACATGTAACGCACATTATTATGTATAAAATGATTACACTATATATAACAAACAATGCATTCGTAGTTTCAACACTTTCCGAGATGGGTGCTCACATTGTACCCGTGTAAGGAAACGAACCCATGTTTTCTGTTTTAACCACTAGGCTACCCCATCAGTAAGGTAACACTTTGTGGTCAACCGATCCTCACTTGAGTCAGCTCTCACAATGAACAGGTGTTGAGGTCCAACTCTGGCTAAGGATTCTGGCACTGGTACATCATACATGATTTCTGTATCACACTTTTTGGTTTTCGTGGACGACATCACACTCGTGAAATGGTCAGTCATGGATGATATTATCGGGTAGCTGTAAACATTTCTTGGAACCATATTTGAGTTAGTCAGTGAGTGAGTGTATAACACACACTTACTACTCTAGACTTTAGACAAAATCTTCTTTCTTGAACGAATGAACAAAATCCTCAAACATCCACTTTAACGAAAATCTCGGGTTCCTAAGAATACTAAAGTCAGGCCAGAAATGCTTTGAAAATGCTTTTTGGCAATTATTTAATAATGGTTGATATTTCAGATTCAAAACTCATATATAATCATTCATACCACCTCGACCTAATATGGCATGTGAGTAATCACGATGTACCATTCCCTAATCATAATGATTACTCGTAAAATATCGAAAAACTATACTGTGACCCACCTGGCAGGCATACCGGGTGACAGTGTTATGTAAACACACGGGCAGTGCATGTCAGTATCACTGCTGGTGGAGGACTCTAGTGGAATTACGACATGACATTTATTGTATCTTTGATATCATCTTGTATTTTAGCACACGTCGGTGGGATTTTGCGTTCATACAGTTTACAAACTGCACGGCATATGACACCCTTGTCAAAGCTATCCAGTATGTGTTTCCTACCTGGTTTTGATTTCGACACGACCCCTGAGGTAACTGATTTGTTTACAACTTTGTAAATCTGACTATCTGTCAAATTCCGGGCTTTACACATTTTATAGTAAACCCTGTCATTGCTGACGAGGGGTTTCTCCCTTTGTTTCTCCAGTATGAAATACTGGTATAAATTTGAAATTAATTGTTCTGCAGGGGTATCAAGTCGCATGTTGCCAGTTCAATGCTCATACATGAAGTGAAACTTCTATGGGTAAACAAGATTATCTATTTGATTTGAATTAAGACTTTTTTACGTAATTATTTTGAATATAACTACTACAAGAGTTCCATCATTTTCACATATAGATGTTAAAAAAAACACCAAAACGTTTTACAATCATTTATGTAATTTTATTAGTTGAGGCAATATGAATAATTATAGTCTGTATTTCAAAACTACAGTTGTACTTAGAATATTTGCAAATGTTGTTAAAACGTCAAAAATCCCTCCTGTGAAGTCACCCCTCAAGTGCATTTTTTCACCTGAGCTTTAATATCCAACTAGGTAGAGTCGTACATGTATCATATATGTGCTTTTATCTTGTGTCAATTTCATCATATTGATAATCAAACCATAAAGCATTTTCCAAGAATTTCTGGCCTTATTTTAGGTCGTCGATTCCTCACTGTCGCGTTCACTCAAAGGCTTCCTCAATCCATTTTCTAAAGGGCAGTCGAACACATTTGTCCCCTTCAATTGTATACGATTCGGGTCCTTCAGGGTCGTAGAACACACAGCCATTGACATGTCCCACAGCGATCTCTATAATGCAGCCTCCAGTTTCCGTATCTTTGGATAATTCTATGTAAAACACATCAGAGACTTGAAGTAAATGCTTTGAATGTTTGTTTTTCTGAATACGGAACTTCTCCATCATTGCTTGCATCAGATGATCCTTTATACGCTTTTGTAGATCCAGAGGAATCTCATCAAACTTGAGCTCGGAGTAAACAACGTGTATTGTTCCGCCGTTCTTTTTCTTTGAGAGGGCCGATACATGTTCAGGAACAGATAGTCTAGTCATCTCACTCACTAGGGTATGTAAGAGCCCAGGTTGCATAGGAGACACGGCATAGTCTTTCTGACAGTTCAACCTCAAAGCTCCTCGATTTTGATGCTGGGAGAAAATACCCCTCAAATCAGCATTTGAACTCTCTGATATACGCGAAGAAAACAGGCGGCGCCGGACTTTCTCGTTTGAGGCATTTCTCAATTTGTCCTCAGAAAACTTTGTTTTGTAATCAAGCGTGAGAAAAATATCTGATGGCTCGACGTCTATTCTCAACATATACTTATACTTTCCGATCTTTTGTGTTTTAAATACTTCACATTGATCTATTTCCTGCGTGAAGATTGAACCAATAATTCGATTAATATACTCCTGAAAATCCAAGGAACCAGGTATGTTGGACCCATGAAGTATAAGAACACCACCATGGGAATTTCCAATAGCAGTCAGTATCTTAGAGAATTGAAGCTTGAAAGTGCTCCCAGTCATGGGTGTCTTAGGATGGTCCACATGAGTGAAGAATACGTTTTCCAACCTTGACAGGTCATCTTCACAATCATGACGCACACCCAAGCATATTTTACAGTCAGCTGGGGAAAATATAAACAAAATATCAAAACTACATATAATGTAAATAAGCAGCCTCTAATTTTACATTTTCTGTTTTGCCAGAACCATTTAGTCACATGACATATGCCAAACCACTCGGAATGAATAATATATCTAATAATATGTTAATCAGATTCAATATTTACAATTATTATTATTATTGGTTTTACGTTATCTGGATTGATTTGATAGGATTTTCTTAAAGAGTTTACCTGATAATAGCGCACTAAGAGTAAATAATCATATCATGTTTTTTCTTCTTCTGAGAAGTGAAGTTGAAATAAGATTAACAAAACTTTCTGCATGATCTATTAAACGATTCCAAAGAGTCACACCCGTGTATCCAATTATGAGAATGCGTTTGAGCATTAAACAAAAATGTTATCTCGTACACTTAAACCTTGCTTATCCGGACAATTGCATGTTCTGAAATATTGCCCGGATTAACGAATATCCAGTAGACTGAATGACTTACGCCTAAGCTTCGCTAACACAATTCAATGGAGAATAGATATCAGAAACTAAGACTAATAATATAATTAGAATTTCATCTGTAAGCACTTACAAAACTCCATCACTCTCATTACTCAAAGGTCTTTATAATACAAAGCATTACACAACATGGCAAAGCTGTAAGCATGATAAACGTTACCACAAACATGATATAAATTTACATTGACATAACCCTGCATAAAGTTAAAGTTTTAACAGTCATGTATCCGTTTACCAGAAACGGTCTGAAAGCACTCCAGGTACTCTACCAGTTTGCATCCTGAACGTTTCTGGCCTGGATACCGTCCGGGTATTTTTTATCAACGTAAAATGTTTGGAAGTGAATGTTTTGGAAGTGAAACACCACATATAAAACATCTGAAAATTGGCATGAATCATTTCACAAATACCATAGGTCTGTCTCACTCACAATAGTTTAGCCTATCAACTTGTGATAGCGGAACTGGGACAGGAACTGCAAATGTGTAAAACATAACATATTATTTATAGATTGTGTATACTATAGGAAACAGTTAGTTTCATTCATACCAGTTATGTCTCAGAATGAATTGGACTGTTTCCGGTCACATTTCAAATATAGTTATGTCATGTTGTAAAATGGAACGATCTTGGCTTGTCACTCTGTCGTGTCAAATGACAATATCAATCCCCTTAAATCTAATTGTTGCTCTATTGCCTAATGACATAAGAAAAGGCAGCCTCCAGCCTCAACAACATTCTCTATGCCAATGGAAGAAAACAGGCCACCGTAAAAAACAACCACCCGACACGTGTCATCTACAAAATTAACTGTGATTGTTGATTTAACATCTTCACATGCATCTAAAAGACAACACGAGAGCATGTGTTCGACAGGCTTTACTCAGCAAAATTCATGCGAGATCTAGGTCATGTCTAAAAATAGAACATACTATTTTCGTGAGGGTTGAACATAATGTCTGCACCTAATCTAAAGAACTTCTGTTGGATATTACATATCCCCCCTTTTGCTTGAGATAATCTCTAAAATATAAAAGTTTTCAAATAAATGAAACATTAATAAAAATTCTTGAATTATTAAATAACTAAAATGTTCATTATCGCCCTGAAACTTAAAAACTAAAAATAATCTTATCTGAAACTACCAGATATAGATTCAATCAATTTACTTATAAAATGTTCATTTCAAATTGTCTCTATTGTGTACTATTTTAAACTTATAAAGTCTTTGTCTCTGGTGAGTATCATTTTACACTTTGACTAGATAAACAGTGATTCACATTTTATATCTCTGGTTTCACAGTTCATAGTCTTTCAAGTAGCCTGGTATTTTTCTGTCTCTGTGCGGTCTCACTCTGGTACTACAGTTCGGTGATGTGTGTTTAGTGGTTGTAGTAGATTCTCGATTCACAACTCTGGTTTGCTCAAGTTTCTGTAGATTCTCTCCTGGTGAATCTTGTGTTGTATTTACCTCTTCACAGCCTGCAGATGATAACACAGTTTTTCTCATCAGACCCACTCTCATGTTTGATTCCTTGTAGAATATCTGTGACTTTAGATCTTAACTCACTCACTTGTAGAATATCACACAGCTTGTATTCTAGCACATTGTTGATGCACTTGAAGTGAGTAGAATTTCTTGTCACTTTTCTCCCATCGGTCACCCTGGCTGCTGTTACAGCTGATCCACAGATGTCTCTAACTTTGTAACACCCTCGTTCATAAGCAGTTGGCCATTTGTTTGTTTTCTTCTGTTTGGATAAAACATAGTCTCCTACCTTTAAGTCATATTTCATAGTCTGATTGTTTTCTGCTAGGATTTTTATTCTTTCTTTGTATTGTCGGTCTCCTTCGTTCATTGAAATGTCTCTTTCTTTCCTTTGTTCTGTTCTGTTTCAGTTCCTGGATGATCCAACCTATTTCCCACTTGTCTGTTCATCAGAGGATATACCTGTAGCTGGATGTGGTGTAGCTCTATATCCCACTAACATATCTGACAGAGCTAAACTGTTATCTCTACCTTCCAGGTGAGCGATCTGTTCCACCTTATTCAAGACCTTCATGGAACTCTCAGCCTCTCCGTTGGCTCTTGGATGCGCTGGTGTCACACGGTGATGATAGAATCCCTCTTTGTTTGCAAACAGCTGGAACTCATAGGAGTTAAATGGGGGTCCATTGTCACTTTCAGTTCTTCTTGGCGTCCCATGATTGGCAAACGTTTTCTTCAGTTTGTCTCTAATAGGTTTGAATGCTGTGGAATCTACTCTCTCGACTTCTGGGTATCTTGTTCTCTTGTCTGCTGCAACAAGATCACAGTGTCCATTTGGATACGGTCCAACAAAATCTATGGCGATAGTTTCCCATGGTTTGTCAAGTATTTCCGTCATTTCTACAGGTTCTCGTCGATATTCTTTTGTCCTTACTTGACAATCAAAACATTTCCCGATGATGTCTTCTACTACTTGATTCATCCTTGTAAACCAATACTTCTCTCTCAGCATGTTTTTGGTTCTGGTGATGCCGAAGTGTCCTGGACTGTGTGCAGCTTTCACAACCTTTCTCTATAGTGATGTCGGAATCACAATTCTATGCAGTCTGAAAATCAGTCCTGGTATGATACTTAAGTCTTCCCTCACCAGATAGAATGGATTGATTTCTTCATCTTTTCTGCAGGATTCCCAATCTCCTTTTCGCACTCTCTCCTCAACTTTTCTCAGCTGTTCATCACATCTGGTTTCTCTTTTGATGTCATCGAGAAAAACGGCATGCTCATTCGGGACAACATATTTCACAACTCTTTCGGCAGGATCATAACCAATTGTTGGTGATGGGTGTCTCCAGAGAAAGTCGAATGGATCTACTTCATCTTTCCCTGATTCATATACCAACTCGAAATCCACATTCTGCATTTCTATTACCCACTTTTCTATCCTTGGTGGCAACGGTGCTGTAGCACGGTTGAATAGGGGTAACAATGGTTTGTGAGCCGTAATTATCTTGAAGTTTGGTGCACCCAGCAAGTAGATACTGAATCTTTTCTTGACCCATGCAAAAGACAATGCATATTTTTCTGTGTTGCTGTACCGTTTCTCTGTTTCTGTCATGGTACGGCATATGAAATGAACTGGTTGTAGTCCCTTCTGCGTTTTCTGGAATAATCCTGCTGATAGTCCCTCGTTGAAACTGGCTTCTGTTCGACAGATGATTGGTTTGGTAGGGTCAACATATGCAATAGTGTCTTGACTTGTGATACTGTTTTTCAGGATTCTTAAAGTGTCTTCCTCAGTCTTCCTCCATCTGAACTTTACATCTTTCTTGGTCAATTCTCTCAACGGTGCAGTCAATGAAGCGTAGCGAGGAATGAACTTGGACAGGTATCCGATCATTCCCAGAAAACTTCTCACAGCTGTTTTGGATTTTGGTGCTTGACTTTCTTTCACGGCTCTGAACTTTTCTTCAGTCGGTCTGAGTCCATCTTTTTGTGAAGAGATATCCATAGAATTCCAATTCTTTCACTCCAAACTTACATTTCTCTCTTGCTCTTTGTAGAACAGTTTCTAACACTTGGTTGTGTTCCTCTAGATTTCCTCCTCCAATCAGAATATCATCTCTCTGGTTTAGACACTTTGAGATATCTCCAAATATTTTGTATATCACCTCATCAAAAAGATCTTGAGATGCTTTTGCTCCAGACACTATTCTTTTTGGTGTCATGTTTCCCCATGGAGTTGAGAAAGTGGCAGTCTCTCTGGATTTCTGATCTAATTCTGATCTGATTTGATCTGGATTTCTGATCTGATTGATGATATCCTTGTCTCATGTCCATCTTCGAAAAGATTTTGCAGTCTCTGAATTTGTAAGTAAAATGTTCCACCACTGTAGCTTGCATTATTCGGCTTCTTTCCATATATTTGTTGGGAACTTTCAGATCTACATATGCTCTGACCATGTTGGACTCCAGCTTCTTGCCTTCCACGTCGTGAATCTTGGCTTTGCTTGAACTACTAAAGGTGAGCACCATGTGACAAGTTCACCTTGCGGTACTTCTTCAAAGATATCTTCTTTCCGACCCACCTTGAGCCATTTCTTCAATGGTCCTTGTAAGTAATGAGGAACATGACGACCCTTCTGTGCCACTGGAATGAAATCTTCTTCCATATATAATGTAACATATCTCTCTCCGTAGTTCTTTATGTCTCTGATATAACCGATCCCTTCGAAAACTTGGTCATACTTGTGTAGGATTGCAGCAATCTGTTTCTTCTCTGTGGTGTGATTCTGGACAGCTGTTATTTCTAATTCTTCTTCTTTGATCCTGAGGTTGTTCTTCTGAGCTAAAGATCCGTCTTTCCTTATGTCCAGCATTCCTAACTCTGTAAGTGATGTTCTGTTCAAAAGTGGAGGTGACTTCATTCTGCCTCTTAACACAACAAACTTAGTGTGGATTCCTTGAGTTTGATTCCCAACAACTGTATTGAATTCTTCTTTC